ACCCAACCTTCATAACCGGTTAAATTATGTCATATAATTAAAAATAATAGAATATAAATTAATCCATTTTCCAATTCCACTACTTATCAATTATCTGATAATAATTCTTTTTGTTTATTAAATGTACAACCATGCGGAGTCCGCGTCGCAAGTATAGGCAAATTATGTCAACGGACTCTACCACGTGGGACAGAGTTCCGTTCTCCAATCTGTTACTCAAAACTAGCTGCTGCATTTTTCATGCATATTCTCTCCTCCTTCACACTGCCTTTTCATTGCCAATCAGACTTGTAAAATAAGGCGACAAAATTTACAAAAATATATAATACAGCGTCTTGCCTTTTTGGTACGTTCCCATGCGCAGCTATTGCAAGAAACAAGTCATAAATTCTTCTTTTTTTTTTTGTTTTTATTTTTGTGATACTTTTATTCCCTAATATAATGGTCTTTCAAAACACATAGTATAACTTTTCAACGAATGGAACTCGAATGCCCCTTCCCCTTGCTTCGCCTTGTCCATAGGAATACGTATGTATCAAAAAGATCTTTCATATTGTGCCAATTTCAAACTAGATTCTACCTATATAAATACAATAATTTAGTGATGATGAGCAATATAAGCCATAAAGTTTGTGTTTAATCCCAATCGTTTCAACCATTAACATCTTAGAACATTTCACAGAATTTTTGTCATTTAGTTTTTGATTTTTCAGAATATAGTATTTTTGTTATGGTTTTATTTCTATACAATTTTGTCTTTTTTCTTCTAAATTTTAAAGTTTATAAAACTATTCTTTTGTTATGAGTAAGCTTATTAACTTTTCAAAACTCTAAATTTTGATGATATGTTTACTCTATGAGACTAATGTTTCGACCTCAACTTTAATATTTTTCTTCTACTATTTAATATTTAAATGTAAGTTGACACTGCATCCATGTGCGGAGCTAGGATGGCACAAACGGACTTAGCTGAATCCCTTTTGCTGAAAAATTATATTTTATATACAAAGTAAAAATTATCTTTTTATGTATATATAATACATGTTGAACTCCCTTGACTTCCTCGTATATTTATTTTTTATATTTTGAATCCCCTTGGTAAAAATTATGGTTCCGCTACTGATTGCATCACATAAATTAGTAGGACAGAGTACTCAAATTTGTTAATGCAGTCTTTATACTCTTATTTATGCCTTCCCCTCGAAATCTTTTATCGAATTAGTAATAGTTGGATATATTATTGCAACTTTTAATTAGAATCCAATGTTTTAGAAATATAGTTTGAACATAAATTTATTCTTTTCCTCATTTTTATGAGAGTGGCAGTGAATAGTGAGAAGGAAAAGTACAAGAAAAGAAAAAAAGAAGCTGGAAAGGATCTAATGTTAATGCACTTTGCAATGGCTAGATTACAGCTCCGATCACAAATCATTTTTAAATATTTCGATTCACATGGATAAAGCTATTTGCTCTCTTTCTTTCTTTTTTTAATATTTCTTTCCGTCATCGTGTTTAGTGGGAAATTATATGTTTCTCTCCAATCCCAAACGAATTTTAAGTGCCACGAAGCACATGGATGGAATATAATATTCCGAATTACTTAGGGGTCGTTCGGCAGAATTAGAAAAGAATGTACGCATTAGTTTTTAGTATTACTAATTCCTTATTTGGTATATTTTTTTAACAAATAAATGTATTACTAATACAAGTATTAGTTATACAATCTATTTGGTATTATCCTATATATAACTTATACATAGCAAATCATCGTATTAGCAATACCAACGCTATTAATGCATGTATTAGCATGGTTGCGTTAAAGATAAAAGTACCCTTAAAGTCCCTTAAAGCTAAAGAATATGGAGAGCATTTTTGTAAACAATTAATTTTATTAGAAATTATGCAATGCATTTTAATTTTTAATAAAAGACCATACCAAACCTCTGTTTTAAAAGGCAGAATTGGGACTCGCCCCGGGACGGAGCATTCTCGTAAAACAACCCTGGGCTTATGTGCGAAGCTTAGTTCCGTGAGACTTACGCCCCGGACACGCCCAACGCTCAGCGTACTTGGCTCGCCTAATAGAACATTATGCAATTGTATGTAACTAACCTTGTAAATCCTTAAATTTTCTTAATAAATCATTGACTATTCAAAATTACTTTTTTCTTAATCATAAATCATTAAGTCGAGAGTACTTTATGTCATAATTAAAATAAAAATTATTGTACGTTATCCACTAAGACTGTTATGATAGTTAATTTTAAATAAATCTTTCATTTAAAAAGTATTTATTTATTAACTTTTTATGTCTTTACTATATAATAGTCCATTATTTTTTATAATTATTTTTCTAAGTATTATTTTTTTCACGTTTACGAGATACAATACTTAATAATTTAATAGCTCAGTATTAGCTAATAACTATTTACAAATAATTAATTATCATGGTATTGTATGGTGAATTATGTGTCACTTTATTAACTTGTTGAAACTTAAAAATAAATGATGTTAGAGAATCATATTGAAATTGTGAATTATGTTTTTATATTAATTCTCTTTCAAGTAGAAAGCATATTAAATAAAAGGAGTATTTAAGAAAAATATCAAGTTACAATATCGAAATTCTTTCAAGACTCATTACTCCTTAAGAGATATATATAAGATTTCGTATCGAATACATAACTTTTGATGTTTGAGTTGTAATGACGTTGTAGCTAATATGCATATTATGATATATGTTATACTTTTCGTATTATTCATAGTTGAATTCTACTTTATAAATATTTTAAATATATTATTTGTTATAATTTTGTGATTTAATGTAATTTTATAATTATTTTTTATTTTATACTATTTTAAAATTCTTGAAATTAGTAAAATTTAAAGATCCGTGGGACTTACGCTCCATGTCTCAGGGCTTACGCCTCGCCTCGTCAGAGGTAAAACGCCTCGCCTCACGCCCCCGCCTTTTAAAACATTGTACCAAATAATGAATAAGAAATAATCTCTAATCTCCACATACCTAATGCTTGCATTACTAACTCATGCATTACTAATCCCTCCATTACTAATACAGATTATTCAACACTTTTCTTATACACCCTACCAAACGCCCCTAATTGGAGAGTGAAACAGTACATAAGCAAGTGCCATAAAAATATAATTATAAGGTAATTCCTTCCTAAGGTCCCGTAACAAATGAAAGGCAATATCTTCTATATATATGCTAATAATTTAATATATTCAGAAAGTAAATCCAAAATATCTAAACAATATTCATGAAATTACACATAAAATTTTGGTAAATGCTTTAGAAGTCTTCCCTTCTATTATATGATCTAGGTCTAAATTAAGTCAAAAGAATTGGATGCATACAACATGCAATAAATGGATTCATAGGCCACAAATAATAATAATATTTACAATCTTTATAAAAATTCTTTCTAAAGTCAATGATTCTTCCAAATAAAATAAGATCTAAATTTTTTTTTTAATTCATTCTAAGGTCAGTGATTCAACCAATAAGAGCTCTCTTTAAGTACAAAGGCGGATGTAGAGTTGTAATAGCGGGTTCAACTGAATCCAGTACTTCCGACATGAAGCATAAATTTATGTGTAAAAATTCACTAAAATTGTAATAAATAATAGGTTTGAACCCATAATTTTAAAAATATAATAGATTCGTGACAAAAATTCTTTAAGATGGAACCCATAGAGCTTAAATCCTATATCCGCCTCTATTTAAGTATATAGGAACTGTGAAACGTATTGGAAGTAAACTCCCTCATACTTTTGAGGGAAGAAGAACTGAAAAGGAAGAAGAAGAAGAGAAAGTTGCAGAAAATATGAAAATAACGATATGTCTTCTTTCATGTTTTTTGGCTCTATTGTTTACACCCACATTTGCCATAAAAAAGGTAAACATACGTACCTGTCATTTCTCTTTATAAATTGTGAATATATCATTACTATTTGCAGCATTATAGCTCAAATAAAAATCTAAGTATAATTTTAGAAAATCATATTTTTCGTCGAAAAGTTTCGAAATTGTTAGTAATGAAAATAATTTATGTTTTACATAGTCATACGTGGTGTACATGGGTGCACATTCACATGGAAAAGACGCATCATCCATTGATTTTGATAGAGTTACTGATTCCCATCATGAGTTTCTTGGATCACACTTAGGAAGGTAAATGAATATTGTCAAACTTCCGCTATTCTTTTTTATTTATGTGAAATCCGAAATCTTATTAGTCTTTTTTTCTAACATGCTTGAAATCTCAACAGTATTGAGAAGGCCAAGGATGCAATTTTTTACTCTTATACTAGACACATCAATGGCTTTGCTGCTATGCTTGAGGATGAAGAAGCTGCAGCATTATCCAGTAAGCTTTCTGAAATGGTTTGAGTTTTCCAACTACTACCCTTTTCCCCCCTCTTTTGCTTCAATTCGCATTTCTCACTGTTCAAAGGTGAATTCAGGGTCTAGAGTCAGTGAATTATGTAGGCAGAAGGGTACAATATCGGTTAAATATTAAATATTCATGAACAACCTTATAAGCGATATTCCTAAGTTCCCTACTTGTTATATATTTACATTTTAAGTTTCTTACAAATATATAATAGTATATAGTTAGAGCAGAAGAATAACAACAGTGAAATTCAATTGAACTGACAGAACTCGCCTTAGATTCGGCTATGACTTTGTCTATATGAACTTTTTTTGCAGAGCATCCGGGGGTAGTATCAGTATTCTTGAACAAGGGTAAGGAACTACACACAACCAGATCATGGAACTTCTTGGGGTTGGAACATGACGGAATAATCCATGAAAGCTCTTTATGGAAAAGGGCTAAATTTGGAGAAGACATCATTATTGGCAACATTGATTCTGGTACGGGTTGTTTCTATTCTTACTTTCTATATTGGTCTCACACATCAGTTCATTTTCTGTGTCACCATGATCCAATTTTAAGGTCCTTTTTCACGTAGTGCTGGTTTTCCCCATTGGATTTACTATATATTGCTGGTACAACAGTAATATACCCAGTATAGCCGCACAAGTGGGGTATGGGAAGGGTGGTGACTGATGTGTATGTAAACTTTATCCCTACCTTGTGAAGGTAGAGAAATTGTTTCCTATAGATATCGTCTCAAGAAATGCACAATCACATTAGTAGAATAAAGAAATACAAAAAAGAATATCTATTTAAAGAGAAATAGTGGAGAATCTTATATCATAAAAAGTATGTAGTATTAGAGCCCGTTGGGATTGGCTTGAAAAAAATAGCTTTTAAGCACAAAAGCACTTTTTAAGTGCTGGAGCTTGTTTTATAAATAAGCAGTTATGCGTTTGGATAAAAATGCTGGAGCTGAAAAAAAGCTGTTGAAATATTTGGTAAACAAGTGTTGGTAAGCATTTTTTCTATTAAAATGACCGAAATATCCTTAAAGCTATTAACACTATAAAGAAGCTTATTACTATAATATTTTATTTCAAACTTATTAATATAAATACGAAATAATTAATATTTGAACTGATCACCTAAGATAATTTTTATAAATATAATTGTTGAACTCTTATTTTTCACTCTTTCAACCATATAATTTTTTTATTTATTTCTTGAAATTCCAAGCTTACTGGAAAAACATATGAAATGACTATCCCATTTTATTATTCTATTCCTTATTTGAACAATGTAAAAATTCCTAATATTTAGGAAATCAAAATAAAATAAATTTGTACTTCTTAAAATTATTTGAAAATTGTACGTATAGTTAATTAGAAATTACAATGCAACTAGAATTGTTGGTCGCACACGAGTTTAAATTCTTAGAAAAAAAAAATCAAGCACAAGTACAATACTACAATCTATGTAAGAGATATTAAAGTTAAGTATGTTTAGCAAGCTTCTTCTATTATGACTTCGCATGTATATCAGTTTTATTAATTTATAATTTTTTTTTATAAAGATTTACAGATAATTATTATATAAATAAATGTTTAATCATTTTTATACTAATATTTAGGACTATTTTCCCTTCCTTTTAGGTTTAGGAANGAAATCAAAATAAAATAAACTTGTACTTTTTAAAATTATTTGAAAATTGTACGTATAGTTAATTAGAAATTACAATGCAACTAGAATTGTTGGTCGCACACGAGTTTAAAGTCTTAGAAAAAAAAATCAAACACAAGTACAATACTACAATCTATGTAAGAGATATTAAAGTTAAGTATGTTTAGCCAGCTTCGTCTGTTATGACTTCGCATGTATATCAGTTTTATTAATTTATACATTTTTTTATAAAGATTTACAGATGATTATTATATAAATAAATGTTTAATCATTTTTATACTAATATTTAGGACTATTTTTCCTTCCTTTTAGGTTTAGGAGTCCTATTTCCTATCTCATGTTTTAATTATTTAGTAAGAAAACTTCATTAGGTAAATGTCGTATTCACCTTTCAAAGCAAAGCTAAACTTCAAAGTAAGTTCACGTTCTGACAAATTTTAAAAGTTTGAGTTGGATATTATAATTATTTCAAAAGTTTGTGAAGGACATTTTTGGAATAATAAATATTATTAGGGACAAGAGGGTAAAATACTTGGTCAAAGATAGTTGGCTTTTAAGCTGGGAAAAAAAAGTTGGGATCAACTAACTTGTGGCTTTTGGCTTTTTTAAGCCACTTTTAACTTTTTTTTTAAGCTGTTTTCTTTTTTGCCAAACACTCCCAACATCTAAAAATGGCTCTTAGTATATAGAAGTCAAATTCTTTTTATTATAATTAAAAAAAATTCTTTAGATTCTTTCTAATTTTTTCTTACCCATCTTTTAACTTCTTTGATTTATATATAATTATTTTTGCAATTTCTTATTGTACATGAAGTTGGCTAGTAATAAGTTGCACAAATGCACGTGGATCATTGACTTTATTGATGTAAGATCCGGAATTTCTTATTACACTAATTTTAATATTTGATAATCACCTTCACCTTGGTGTGAGTTAGCTAGTGTACGTCTAGAGAACAATAAACTATTATAATTTGATTATTTTATGTACCAGTTGACAAAAAAAAGTATTTTGCGTATCAAGATCTGACTATCCTTCCTACCTTGGCCATTCCAATTTCACATACGGCTAGGGGCGTCTCAATACCATCCGAGGTCTAAAGCAAAGCCTTAATAAAAGGCCTTATATATATATATATATATATAATGAGCATCGTTGTTTAAAAAATTAGACAAGCGTGGAATGAAAAAAAATGAGAATTTGGTTTTATAAAGTACAAAATATTGAATGAATTTAACCTTGATTGCATCACAACTAAAATGCGACCCTAGAAAACATTATCCCTCCATCCTAATTTGTGTGACACTCTCTTTTTTAGTCTTCCCTAAAAAGAATACCTTTCTATATTTGGTAATAATTCAACAGTAAATTTTTCTCTTTATCCTTAATGAGATGATTTCTAGCTACATAAGTTTCTATGATTTGTTTAGATCACAAGTTTCAAAAGTCCTTTTTTTAAAAAACTTCATGCCCAGTCAAACACCTTCATATAAATTGGTACGGCGGGAGTATAATTTATATGAGGAAAATAACTGATAAGTTAGATTATTAGATATAGTTACATGACAATAAAGTAAAATAATTCAGTAAAAATGTAAAATAAGATTGGCAGAAAACTAATTTGGTTATACTAATCATAGGAAGAAATCAACGTTAATATGAAAACAAAGAAATAAATTTATCAATAATAAGCGATAATTATATAAATTATATACTACATATAAAAAAATAATAATTTTGGGGCCCTTAAATTCTTGGGGCCTAAAGCATGTAGCTGGCCTTGCATACGACAACGACCTGTCTAATTTAGAAAGCTTGCTTTATCGACCATGGCTGCACCTTTCACCAGTTGAAAGAATTTGAGGACCCGATTATTAATTTAGACTAAAAAGAACTGAAGAATAATGATTGCGTCCATCACTCAAAATTTAAATCTTGTGAAGAAACTTGTGCAACAATTATGCATAGCTCAACGCCAACAAGAGTTCATTATTATTGTTTTCTTATAATAATTATGGTCGGGTCAGCTTAGCACACCTAGACTGTTCCACTAAGTATTTGTCATTTATATATCGCACAAATAACGAAAAATTCTGTCTACCAAGACTTGAAGAAAATTGGCCAAATCCAAATGTCTTTTAGGCTGGGATTTGAAATCTCTTCTCATATACTCGCTTGGTTTTTATTTCATTTCATTTATAACTAACCTCCACTTCCAACCAAACTCCACTTCCAACCAAGAGGTTGTGAGTTCGAGTCCCAAGAGCAAGGTGGAAGTTGTTGGAGGGAAGCATGCCGCAGGCTAGGGTTAAGGTCTGCGTACATACTACCCTCCCAAAACACCACTAAGTGGGATTATATTGAGTTGTTGTTGTTGTTCATTGACAAGTAAGCCACACCCTTGAATAAATCAAGTAGTTCATTTTCTTTATATTTTCTTTCTTAAAATGTAATTGATGTTTCCTCAAGGCTCGCCTTTTTTGTGTGATGGGGTTGGAGCAGGAGTTTGGCCTGAATCAGAAAGCTTTAGTGATGAAGGAACGGGACCAATTCCCTCAAGGTGGAAAGGAACTTGCCAACATGGTACAGATGCCAGTTTTAGATGCAATAGGTACTCTATTTCTATTTCCATCTTCTCTTTCCCTTTTCCCATTTTATCTGCACTGCTCTGTCAAGATAGGATAGTTTGCTCTTTTGGAAAATCCTCCTCAGGTGGCACGCTCTTCTTTTGAAATATATGTCCTATTTATAATATTGAGTTGAGACGGGCTTAAATGGGACATGAATAATGAAAATTCATGTAGTCCATCCTAACCTACTTGAGATTGAGGCGTATTAATAGTAGTTGTTATTATAGTATTTCTCTTGAAAATTCATATAGTCCGACCTAATTTGCTCGAGATTGAGACGTATTAGTAGTTGTTGTTATTATGGTATTTCTCTACCCATCGTGTGCTTTGTTGGATGAAATGGAAACTTATTTGGAAGAGCAATCTCTAATTGGAAAATTTTGTTAGCGTTGGAGCAACGGTAAAGTTATCTCCGTGTGACCTATATGTCAGGGGTTCGAGCTGTGGAATCAGCCATTAATGCTTGTATCAGGGTAGATTGCCTACATCAGACCCCTTGGGGTGCGGCCCTTCCCGGACCTTGCGTGAATGCAAAATGCTTTGTTCACCAGGCTGCACTTTTTTTCTTATGAAGCTTTAGAAGATGATAGATATTGATATCTAGTGCTTGTTCTTTAACCTATATTTCAATGCTTAATAGTTTGGCTTTGAACAACAAACTTTTACCCTCTATCTGCTCTGTAGATTATCATATCAAAGTTGTCTTCACTAGCTATGCTGTTCACATATAGGCATAGAAGGCAAATAGCAACTTGTTCAATCAAATTTCCTTAAGTATTCTCCCTTCGTTTTACGAAAAAATCAGACCAAAGTTTAGGATTTGAGTAGTGTATTAAATATGGATTCTTGGAAATTGTGAAAATTATATTAAAATGATATGACGCCAAACATTTTGGAATGACACAAACAGAAAAGTTCGTCATATAAGTTAGAAAGAGTAAAGTATGATTTATTCAGCTTTATGCTAGCTTAAGATCGAGATAACTTTTGACTTTTGGAGTTTTCGTCAAATAATGAAGGAAGTTGATTGGAGCAAGATATTTCATCAACGGATTCGCTGCTGCAGCAGGAGCTCTCATCAACTCCAGCTTCTACACACCACGAGACACTTTAGGGCATGGATCGCACACATTGTCCACAGCCGGTGGTAATTTTGTGGAGGGAGCTAATATTTTTGGGTATGGCAATGGCACAGCGAAGGGTGGATCACCACGAGCACGAGTAGCAGCTTACAAGGCTTGTTGGCCTCCTATTATTCCAAGCGACTCGTGCACTGATGCAGATGTCTTGGCCGCCTTTGATATGGCAATTCATGATGGTGTTGATGTGCTTTCAGTATCAATGGGAGGACTACCTGTACCATATGTCAATGACAGTATTGCTATCGGTTCGTTTCATGCTGTTAAGCATGGCATTGTTGTGGTAACCTCGGGTGGTAATTCTGGTGCTTTTCCTGGTACAATAGCCAACACTGCACCTTGGCTCATCACTGTCGGGGCAAGCACCATTGATCGCGTGTTTGCCAGCTATGTCATCCTGGGAAACAATAAGCGCTACAGAGTAGGTTTCTCTTGTCCGCTATTCTTATTGTCATGTTTTCGTTGGGGGCGAGCTTTACTGCAACAGTTCTCACGCGAGGCTTGGGCCGTAATTTAACAGTATTCAGGTTTTTGTTTTATAGGGAGTAAGCCTTGCAACTGAAGCAGTGCCCCACGGCAAGTCCTTCCCAATTATTACCGGCGCATCTGCTAAACTTGCCAATGCAACAGACCTAGCTGCGTGAGTATTACTGTCTTCCCCAGCCAGATTCACCGTTTAATTTCCTTGCCGGTATATATATATATATATATATATATATATATATATATATATATATATATTATACGTTAATAATACACTGTTATACACATATTATACATATATTATGTATCGCCTGTGCTATTTAGTGATAACTTATATGTGCTTCTGCAGTAATTTTTGCATAGGTGGGACTTTGGACCCTAAGAAGACCAAGGGGGCTATTTTGGTTTGCCATAGAGGGGGTAGTCCAGGGTTTGATAAGTGCACGCAAGCGACTTTAGTAGGCGCAGTTGGTATCGTTATACTCAACAGTGCATTCTTTGGAAACGAAATGTATGCTGAACCTTATATCTGCCCTGCAACGCTTATCAGTTACTCTGATGCACTTGAAGTCTTGGCTTATCTTAATTCAACAAGGTATAACAGTCTAAGAATCTGGCGTTATGCTAAACATGATTGTTGAATTAAATCTTTTATGGCACGACAAAATTAAGTTAGCATACACATGCCTTAACCATGTTGTGTGAACAGGAAACCTACGGCTTACATTACTCGGCCAACAACTGAATTGGGAACAAAGCCTGCTCCAATTGTGGCTGCATTTTCATCAATTGGGCCCAACAGGGTTACACCAGAGATACTTAAGGTTTGTTTCTTATTTTTTTACCATTTTAGTATTGTTAGTTTCAAGTTTATTAGGGAAAATAATTTCATTTCAATGAGTATTCATATGATACTATCTTTCCAGCCTGATATCATTGCCCCAGGAGTGAGCATAATAGCTGCTTATACTGGAGTACAACCGCCTACACAAATGGGTTTTGATGATCGCCGGGTTAAATTTAACACAATGACAGGCACTTCAATGTCATGTCCTCATGTTGCTGGTGTCGTTGGCCTTTTGAAAGCGCTCCATCCAACTTGGAGTGCTGCAGCCATCAAATCTGCCATTATGACCTCCGGTAGGATTACATAGCCCTTTTAATTATACCATTGAAGTTGCTGGATGCAACTTTTCTTAAATTCTTGATCATTAGAATAAGAACTAAATGAGTTATATGGAAACTTTTATATGATTTTGATGCCTTGATACTCTTATTCTTCTGCAGCAAGAACGCGAGATAATACTTTCAAGCCAATGACTAATTCAACTAACCTTAAGGTAACACCATTTGCATATGGAGCGGGAAACATATGGCCAAACCGCGCCATGGACCCTGGCTTGGTTTATGACTTGACGATCGATGATTATATGAGCTTTCTCTGTGCCCAAGGCTACAATGAAACTCAAATCAATATCTTCTCACAAGGGTACTTCAAATGTCCCGAGCCAATTAGTTTCATCAATTTGAACTTACCCTCAATCACAGTGCCCAAGCTCAATGGCTCAGTCGTTGTGACTAGAACTTTGAAGAATGTAGGATCACCGGGCACTTACAAAGCTCGTATTCGCTCCCCAGCTGGAATTTCTGTTGTTATTGAACCAAACACTTTGGAATTCAACAAGATTGGAGAGGAGAAATCTTTCAAGCTAACTCTGAAAGTTAGAGGAAATAAAGCTCCAAAAGATTATGTGTTTGGGCAGTTAATATGGTCTGATGGCAAGCACAATGTTAGAAGTCCCATTGTAGTGAAAGCTAGTTAAGAATGTGTTTGGTAGCTTTCATTTCTCTGTTTGTATAATATTATTCATTGAGCTCAAAGTATTCAAACAGTTTACTGGTCTAATAAATAGTTTGTCAACATCATAGTTAGTTTTCAGCAATGTAATAAATGGCAATCATCTTAATTAATCTTAATTATTGTTCGTTTCTTCAAATGCTTTATCACAGAATGTTTTTGTGAATAGCTCAATGAGTAATAGAATTGTTGGTGAAATTACAAGTAATTACAGTTGAAAAATAAAATGAAGTAAATAAAAACCTAAATATCTCGCTCTCTTTAAGGAGATTCAAGTCCACCGAAGTAGCATCTTCACCGGTCCAGCACTAATACCCTTGACTTGTCCCCTTCAGGATACAACAACCCGACAACATCGTATGACTCCAACAAACTCTGGACAAGTTGTTGAGTCCAAAGCTCCACCAAAATGAACACCTTCCTGCAACATAAATAATATTCTCTTTCGTCGAGAATAACTAGGAGAATTAGATTTTCTCTTTTTCTTAACTCTCTTTTTCACTACACCAATTTAACTTTTTTCATACACACTACCATACTTTCACACACCAAACACAAGGAAGAAACACCACTATTTATAGGTGTAGAATCTCTTCCATAAAATAAATAATAAGGCAGTGGGATAATAAAATTATAGAACATGGTTGGTGGTTATAAAATTTAATCTTTAGTGAGTTATTTGTGGTAGATCATGACATTAGTGGTTTCATGAGTTATACCAAAGTAATAACCATTTTCTTGCTAATTTATAACCACTACCTCACACGAAATAATGTACTTTAATATTAAAATACCCTAACGCCAACCAGAGCTTGCATTCTATTTATAGTGATATTTACATAGATGAGATAATTACATAATCCATATGAGATGAGTAGACACGAGAGTAGATAAGAGTCCTAATATGTCAATTATTGCCCCAACTAAACACAACTTTATCAACATTTGGCATTGATGGTAAGTAGCAGCGGAGCCAGAATTTTTATCAAGGAGTATCAAAATATAAATAATTAAATACACCAAAAAATCAAGGAAAATCAACGTATAGTAAATATACATAAAACAAAAAAAAATTATCTAATAGTACAATGTAATTTTTTGCTGAAGTGGTATCGATTGATACCCCTTGATTGAATATGGCTCCGCATGGTAAGCATTTGATCCTAACAACCATGCGTTAGCATGCGATTGGATCTAACCTTAATTCCCAAAATTGTATGATTGTATCTCTTATACCACGAGACATCCCCTTGCAAATAAAAGTATCTTGTATACTCTATTTCAGTTTATATGTCTTACATTATTTTTTCTTTAGTGTATTCTAAAATAAATATAACTACATTTTTATATTTTTTAAGTTTTTACTCTCTACATTCATATTTTACCTGTAAATTGTAATGACATTCTATTCTAGGAATAATTTTTAGCGTGTTATACGCACACTTAGCTTAGGTTCACAAGATTTTAAAATCTTATTTTTAAACCTTGTACCTAGTCAAGTAAGACATAAAATGAAATGAGAAAAATACATTAAAAGAAACCTTTCGGTACATAAACTTCGTTCTTTTTTCCTCTTTCTCGCCACGTCTCAACGGGAAGAAGGAAAAGAAGAGAGGTTTTTGAAATTTTTACAGAGCCATTACCCCTTCTCTTTTCATCTTCTTCTGAAATATCTGCGATTTCTATAATATATAATCTCTAATATACTTTAATTATATATATAAATCATATTTCTCCGGCTCATATACATTCATCTACTATTCTCTCTTCAGATCTCCTTCTTCCTTACGTAATTCGTCAACCATGTCGTACGCCTATCTTTTCAAGTATATCATCATCGGCGATACCGGTAATTTTCCTTCAATTTTCAATTTCGATTGGCTTTTTATTTATTTGATTTATATCTCTCTTTTCTTTTTTTATGTTGATTTCCTTTTTTTTTCTTTGCATCTGTTTAAAATGTTTTCTGCTTGATTACCAATGATTTTACTTTAATTTATTTGCTCTTCCTCACTTTTTATGGATCTGGAATGATGTGGAATGTGCAATTGGATGATATAATCAATTTTCTTCTATTGAATGTTGGATTTTATGATTTCGTGTTAATTCTACGCATTTCATATCTCAGTTGAAATCAATGATATATTCATGATGATTTGACAATTAATTCTTTCTGATAGAAAGGATTTGGTTAGGCCAAATTTGATGTTTTTGGTCATTTAGATATTTATGTTATCAAGTAAAAGAAAGTAGAGGTTCAGTAGCGTAAGCCTAGGTGGGGAGATAGGAGGAACCCGGTGAAATAGTGCGTGCATAAGCTGGCCTCGACACAAATAAAAGCAGAGGTTCAGTACGTGAGACTGTTCTTAAACTGCTTATATTTGAAGTCTGGTTACTCTAGGTTCTTGTGTCAACGCAAAGTCTTGTGGATACAGTTAAAAAGATTACTCTTTGCTATGTAAATTACTTTTCTGTCATTAAAAGACCAATCGAGAAAATCATATTTTCGAAGCTCATCACTTCAATAAAGGCATTGAAGTCAGGAGGCCGTCCCTATAAAAGTCCGTCCCAACAATTTAGCCAGAAAAGAAAAAAATTTGGGGTAGAAGTTAAGTTTCTATTGAATTGAGTAAGATCCTTTTGAATAGAAGATGCCCATGAAAAAGAATTTTTTAGAGGAAGATTAAAAAAAAATTCAATGAAAAAAGTTTTCGAAAAAGTAGCAGGTTCTAGAAATATTACAAATTCAAGGTGAACCTTAATTTAGAGTTCATTTATCCTTGGTAGCAGGCCCATAATGTCTGGGGACAGCAAGTTAGGAGCCTTAAATTGACAATAGTCGAAGGGAATTGGGGAAATAAAAGAACTGATGAGGCTTCTGCATAGCCGCTTTTCCTAAGTGCAATCCCTGCTTCCTCCTAAAGTAAATTCCATTATAGAAGCACATATTTACTTTATCAGTAAGGGCCTTCTAAAAGGATACATATATTCTAAGTTTCAATAGAAATATAATCTAAGAAAATATGATGACATTCCCCTCCTCTCTTTTCTTCTCCTCCCTCTCATCACTCTCATCATTACTTACAAATTTTTCTTTTTCTGCAATTTCTCACAATCTGGCTATCCTCAACACAACTTAAAACATTATAGTTTATTTGAGATGGAACCTTAAAACATCATAGTTTAACCAGCTTGTCAGTCCATATTAGGCACAATCATCCCCAACCTCCATCAGGTTGCCTCCATTAGGTTGCATTAGGCATGAGAATTGATTTCTCCTAGTTAGTTTTGAAGATTTTTGATTCTTTATTACTGAAGTTTAAAAATTCCTGCATCATTTGGTGAGTAAGGCAAGAAATTGCATCTGTAGAGTTCTGTTTATTCAGTGGCTTAGGTTCGTATTACATTCCACAATCTGAACCAGATAATTGTTTCTCCTAGAAATAGAACACCTCTTCTTCTTTGACTTGTAGGATAATTTTTTACATGAATTTGCTGGCTAGGCACTTTGTAGAATCAATATATAAAGGAATTTGACCATGAGAAAACGGAGTAAGAAAATAGTTCGAAAATATGTCTGAATTTTTGCATATGGTCAAGTGATTATTGTAAAACTGTCAAGGCTCATAATAATAAAAACATGCTTTAATTGATGAATTACATATGGGTTATGGTGAAGATGGCTACTCGGGACTGTTGCCACTATATCACTACAAGGAACTGCCTCGTAAACACTCTTCGTCTTAGGGGACTCAAATCCCTGTAATGAGAATCTAAACTATTGAAAATTTATGTGATGGTTATTACGCTGAGTGATTCCTCATGACTTGGTATTTTTTTAGTCGTATCTGCATACACAGAAAGCTGTCTTGCAGTTTCTAGTTTGCCCTTTGCCAGTGTACTTTGCCCCCTAGCATTTCTTATAATCATTTGGTTCTAATATTTTGTATGTGATATTGGTGTATGCATTTATTAGACATCATCCATAACTTTACAATGTTTTGTTGCACAGGAGTCGGAAAATCATGTCTTCTGTTGCAGTTTACGGACAAACGGTTTCAACCGGTCCATGACTTGACCATTGGGGTTGAATTTGGGGCTAGGATGATCACAATAGACAACAAACCAATAAAACTACAGATATGGGACACGGTTTGTGACACATCTTGTCTCTTTCTCTTTTACTGTTAATATGCCGGATGTCCAAAAAGTGCTAAATTAGACCACAGTTCATCTGATCATCTTATTTTGGTCATTTAGGAGCTTGAGACTATCCTCATAAATGCCTTATATTCTGTCCTAAGCAGCAGAGTCGTTCTTACTGTTTTTGTTATTGTTTGCATGTGCGATCATTTATGGCTGACAGCCTGATTCTAATGAATGCTCACCTTTTCAGGCTGGCCAAGAATCATTCAGATCTATCACTAGATCATACTACAGAGGTGCTGCTGGGGCACTGCTTGTTTACGATATTACAAGGTATTGTCCTGCATACATCTTTATCACATATATGCATGGAATCCAGGTTAGTCAGCATAACTTTGCTTGCATATATTAGGATTACTTCTTGATATGTCTTTTGACTTGGATCCAATTTTCAGAAATGTTTCTTTACACAAACTTTGTTGCCCGGAGATGTCATTTGTAAGGCAGATTTGGCTGCATCTGCAGTATAGTTTGTAGCCTTTTCTAATTTCTTTTTGACTTATTTGATTGTAAAACAATATTAAATGGTGTTCTGATGATGATAACTTTATGTCCTTGACTGTCAAAGAGAAATTTAAAAAGTTTCTATAGGTAATGATAACACTCTATTGTCTTGCATCATAAGTTTCTCTCTTACTGGACATTACTGAATCAATTATCTTTCTTCTGTATTAAACTTCATCTGGGAGTAAGTTGTAATTGACACATCTTTGTTTCGTTGTCTCCTTCCATCCCTCCATCCCTGGATGCTGATATGTATAATAATTGGTTCCTGCATTATTCTATTGGTGATCATCTGATGATTCCTTCACTCTTCCTGCTGCTGTAAATCTAAGTACATTTGTCTACATTAATGTGTTAGTGATGAAGTGATGATTTTCTTTTCTCCAAAACTTTTATAGGAGGGAAACGTTCAATCACCTTGCTAGTTGGCTGGAAGACGCAAGGCAGCACGCAAATGCAAACATGACTATAATGCTGATAGGAAACAAGTGTGATCTGGCTCACAGAAGGGCTGTAAGCACAGAAGAAGGTGAGCAGTTCGCAAAGGAAAATGGCTTGATATTTATGGAGGCCTCTGCCAAAACTGCCCAGAATGTTGAAGAGGTAAGAAATCCTATATTCTGCTACTTCTCTGGAGCTTTGAGAATGTGCGAGGGCCACCCTTTTCGCTAAGAAATTCTATTGCACCTTTTCAGGCATTTATCAGAACAGCCTCAACTATCTATAAGAAAATACAGGATGGAGTGTTTGATGTATCAAATGAGGTATCCCATACCCTGTCTACATTTGTATAATCTGCCTAATGTTTATCGCTTTGTGCACTGAATGTTGTTACTTGTTGGAGAAAAAGTAACTTCTGTGGAGATATATTAATGTATGAGAGAAAACAAAGTAAGACAATTCGGGAGTAAAGAAAAATACTATTGGCACATCCCGTGTTACCATGTAGAAGGACTTATATGGTGCCTTCTGATCCTACTGCCAGATAGTACTTTCCTTGCTTATTTAAATGATAAAAAAGATCTAGGGTGTCTTCATTCCTCTGGAAAACAATACAGAGTTTTATATTGAACTAATTAGTTCAACGGACCAATACTTAAAACAAAACAATATCCACATTTGGGGGACACCCCCCTCGCATCTGACTTGTCCAACCTCCAAAGACGTATCTATCTGTGCTATGCACAGCTTAAATGCTGTTATAGCTTTTTGAAGTGAACTGCTAATTTGCCTATCTTGTAATCTAGTGTGAAGTTCATTTATATAGTGATCCAGTTTACTGGAAATTTGGTTAGAGAAATTAAATGTTTTATAAAGATTGTATCCAATTTTTGATTGGCAATTTTTTTGCACCTCGATTGCTTTTTTCAGAAAACTGGGATGGCAATCTAGAACATAGGGATGAATATACTAATATCCGATATACAGGCAGAAAAATATATTTTTAAGATACAATTTTATTAAAGTCATCTGGATTTGGGCCCTGTCATCCCAAAAAGGATTTCAACTTTTGTGCAACACTTGAATATAGAACTATGTCCAGTTTGCTTCCACTAAATCTGAATTTTGGGATTTTCAGACACAGTTTAGAGTTTTGAGTAAAATGAGGCTCTTTAATTAATATAACTTTGACTCCTAAAAGTACCATTTATGAGGAGAGGGAGGAATTTTGATATACCTAAATGCGAACCAAATTCCAATTCATACAAGTTAGGATAGTGACGATGCTTTCTTTTCATGGGGTTGTTTTATTTGAAGAGAGGTGAATGAGTTGAAAGTTATTTCAGAATCTGGTTACTAGGGAGCTTGTTATTGCTTGTTTTTGTCAAATGGTGACTTTTTGTTGTGTATAAATCCCTGATCTAAAGAGTTCAAATTTTCAATCGTCTTTTGCAGTCATACGGAATAAAAGTTGGGTACGGAGGCATTCCTGGGCCATCAGGCGGAAGAGATGGAACTGCTTCTCAAGGAGGAGGTTGTTGCAGCTAAAAGTGTAGCTTTATTCTTCAAATCTGATCATGTCCTGTGGTTATTTATTTGTGTTTAGTGTCTTAACATTGAGAGGTTTATTCAATTTGTTTGTTTTATTGTTAATATATCTGCTCAAATATAATCAAACATCAGTAATATGGGACTAGTCTTTCTTCTTTGATTTCTCCTTGTAATATTTGACATTATCAAAGGTGTATAGTGTTTCATAGATCTTTTGTGTTTGATTGAAATTCACTCAACCCCTCATGCCCTCCCCTTTTCCTATCCGCCCACCAACCCCATTTTGTCGAAACGGTTTCTTGGGCGTAACAACGGGGATAAGAGATCACTTGTGTTTGCATGGATTTGCCACAAAGCCAGCAAACATTGCCCCAGCGTTAAGGCTATTGCGCGGGTGCAAAGGTTTGCTGGTTGGCCAGCTTAACGTCGCCGAGTAACTGGGAATAAGCATATCCTGCTGACGGGCTAAAGTGCAAAAGTTGGGAAAGTTAATTCCCCTCCAAGCAAAGGGCTCGCGTAGTTAGCAAAGGGGGAGAAATTCAAAAATAGTCAGATTTACAACTGGTCGTTCAAAAATAGCCCAGTTTCAAAAGTAATTGAAATTTAGCTACTTTTCATGTAAAGATAAATCTGAGCGAAAACACTGTTCAAAACCTAGAAAATACGCCAGTGTATTATACTGGAGTTCCAGGATAAGTGTGCTGGAACTCCAGCATAATATGATGGAGTTCCAACATAAGCACACTAGAACTCCAGCATAATATATTGGAGTTCCAGCAAGTATAATTGTCCAGTATAATATACTGGAGTTCCAGGATAAGTGTGCTGGAACTCCAGCATAATATATTGGAGTTCCAGCAAGTATAATTGTCCAGTATAATATACTGGAGGTTGGAGCACCGGTACTCCAATCTCCAGTATATTATACTGGAATCAGCAAAGTATACCGGTCCAGCATAATATGCTGGAGTTCATACACAGGTGCACCGAACTCCAGTATATTATGCTGGACCGGTCTCTGTTTCAGCAAAATAGTGGCTATTTTTCATTGACTTCCTAAACGCTGGCTATTTTTGAATGACCAGTCCGAAAACTGGCTATACCGTGCTATTTTTACTAGCAAAGGTCGTCAAGTGTCAACTGTAACGCATAATTCGAATTGCGGATAATCGCACAGTTTTATATTGAGCGGGTTAAAATAAATTGACTCGCTAATCGAGCAACGACTTGAGCTTTTTTTTGTGTGTGGTAATAACTGTGCATATTACCATTGACAACAAAAGAAGACTACACCTAAATGTTGGGAATAAACTTCCTCCCCCCCATAGAAATAATATTCACGGTAATAACAACGGAATAGTAACGTTGTAATGAGATACGATAATCAACAAGAATAAAAACATCAACAACAATACAAATATTTAACGTGGAAAATGCTTCTGAATAAGGGAAAAATCACGGGCCCGAGAGGAGCAAAGTAATCCACTATAATGAGGAATTTTACACCTAGTAATCCCGAGTAAAATACTACAGAGACCACTATACACTCAAAAGAAAGAAACCTCCTTTAAGATTCTCACCTTACTATAATATCGCTCACACTTTCTATTTTCCCTCATAGACTATACAGCCTGTGAATACCTCACACTGCTCTCTATGCTCTCTGATATATTTCTCCCTGAGTTTTGGTGCAAGAAATGAGAAGCTGAAGCCTTCCTTTTATAGGAAGAATGACCGTCCACTCCAACCAATCAAATTGACTGGTTTGCAAGTTGTTGCCAACATGCCGATTTGCTTCTTGCAAATTATTTCCAAATCAAGATTTGGCCATCAGATTTGGTATCTGTTTCCTTCTTTATTTTTGTTTTCTTTTTCTTTTATTTTATTATGGGGATGAACCCCACAAATCTCCCCTCCAGACCCATTCTTCTGAAGGAGGTAACACCAGACTTCTAACTTGAGTGCATGCCGAAAAGTTCTTTGCACAGCTCGATCTTGTCCCTTGGTACCACCTTGGTCAGTATATCTGCAGAATTCTCTTCAGGACTTGTAGAGAGTCACTCTCTACCTTTTCTCGGATCCACTTATATCTCACATCGATATGTTTGGTCCTTGTATAGTACATAGAGTTCTTGCTCAAGTCTATTGTACTTAGAGTGTCACAATAGATAACATACTCCTTCTGATGCAAGCTAAGCTCTTGAAGGAACCGTTTTAGCTATATCATCTCCTTGTCAGTTTCAGTAACGGCAATATACTCCGCTTGAGTTGTAGAGAGTGCGACACACTTCTGCAACCTCGACTGTCATGACATTGCTCCCCTTGAAAGTGTAAGCACGTGTCTAGTAGTGGATTTTCTTTTATCAATATCACCTGCCATATCAGCATCTGTATAGCTCTTCAAGATTGGATCAGATCCTCCAAAGTACAAACAATCTCCTGCGGTACCTCTCAGGTACCTAAGTATCCACTTGACTACTTCCTAGTATTCTTTTCCAGGATTTTCAAGAAACCTGCTGACAACACTGACTGCATGAGCAATATCAAGCCTGGTGCATATTATTGCATACATCAGGCTTCCGACTGCTATAGAATAAGGAACTCTAGCCATGCTCTCTTTCTCCTAATTTGTTGTAGGACACATTTTCTTGCTCAACTTCAGATGACTAGCCAGAGGTGTGCTGACTGGCTTAGTGCTCTTCATGTTGAACCGTTCCAGTACATGTTCAATGTACTTCTCCTAAGACAGTGTGAGCACGTGATTTTTGTTTTGCGCGACAATCGCTCCAAAAGAATAAAAAAGAAATTTTTTTTGGTCCTGCTGTACAATTTTTGGATTTCTGTACGGCACTTTGTTGATTTATTTGTGACTTTTGCCCATTTGTATTTTTATTATTTAAAACAAAATACAAAAAAATGTGTGTGTCATGCATAATTCGAACCGTAATTCGGTCGTTAAATAGAAAATCTTAAATAGGCATCTTCGTCCATGATTTTGTTTTGTTTGATTTTACCTGTTTTGAAATATTTTAGTGTGTGTGCAAATAATTGTATTGAGTGTGTATTTAATTTTAATTTGATTTTGCTTAGTTTTGTTTTTTAAAATAAAGAAGAAAAAGAAATAATAATAATAAAAAAAAATCTTCTTCTTCCGGATTGGGCCAATTTATTAAAATTGGCCCAAACAAACAGCCCAAAACCAGGCCTGCCCGGTCCACACCAGCTAAACACCCAGAGCGTCCAAACGACGTCGTATTAATACAGGTTGATCTGGGCCGTTGATCTCAAATTGATCAACGGTCAAGATCGATTCCCCATAACCCACTAAGGAACCCGACCCGTCTCCCCCGGACCAACCCAAACCCTTTACCCTTGAAACAACACCGTTCCCCGTTAGTCGAAGGATCCTGGCCCTTCGTCACATCTCATCCAACGGCCAGGATCCACCTACCCACTAACTATATAAACCCTTTACCATACCCTACCCCCCTATCCAACACCCCAACCTTCGTCTTCACCAAACCCGTCCCCTTCAAACCCTAGCCGCCCCTGTATCCTTCACCATGAAAGCCGCCGGCATGGACGCCGGTGACCCTACCCTTAACACCATAGAACCCCTTGCCATCCAGAACACGGATCTGCTAACCACGTAGTTCGAATCCCATCCCACCTTCTCGAATCTTCATTTGAAGATTCGAGTCAAAACTTGATCTACAC